GTACAGACGCTACCACAGGTGCTGTTCTGGCCACGTTCACCAGGGAGCCCCGCTCCGGTCTCTACGTTCTCCACACCGAGCGCTCCCCGGTCGCGTTCTCCCCTCAGGTCGTTGCGTCCCCTCCGGCCCAGATCCCCAGTCCAATTGCGGTGTCTAGCCAGGTAGTCGTGTCCGGTCCGGTCGCTGTGTCCAGTCCAGTCGCTGCGTCTTGCTCCTGTCGCTCTCAAGCCCACCGCACCGTCCTGTGGCACCACCGCCTTGGCCACCCGTCGATCCCTCGCCTTCGTGGCATGCTCAGTCAGGGACTTGTCACAGGTCTCCCACACACCTTCCCGTCGCTCCCTCTCTCGCTTGCCCCTCCTTGCTCTCCTTGCGTCGCCAGTCGCTTACGCGCCACTCCCCACTCCTCCTCCCTTCGTCCGGCCACCACTCCCTTCGAGACTCTCCACTTGGACGTTTGGGGCCCTGCCCCGACGCAGGGGTCTGGGAGGGAGCGTTACTTTCTGGTGGTCGTCGACGACTTCTCCAGGTACACCACAGTGTTTCCTCTTGCGAAGAAGTCCGAGGTGACTGCTACGATGATCAGGTGGCTTCTAGCCACTGAGGGCACTCGTGGTCGTTGAGTCAGTAGTCTCCACTCCGACCGTGGGGGCGAGTTTCTCTCCGGCATTCTCGGCGGATTCTGCGGCGAACAGGGCATCACATAGTCCTGGACGCTGCCAGAGTCCCCACAGCAGAATGGGGTTGCTGAGCACCGCATAGGGCTGGTCATGGACATCGCCCGCACGTCCATGATCCATGCCCGTGCGCCCCATTTTCTGTGGCCCCACGCGGTTCGCTACGCCGCACACCAGCTGAACCTCCAGCCGCGTGTCTCGCGGCCCGAGGCTTCACCGACCAGTCTTTGGACTGGTTCCCCTGGTGTTGGGTCAGCCTTTCGAGTCTGGGGCTGCCTTGCGCTTGTTCGCGACACCTCAGCGAACAAGCTCTCGGCACGCGCCGTCCCCTGTGTCTTCCTTGGTTTCCCAGTGGACTCTGCCGACTGGTCCTATTACCACCCGCCCCTCCACCAGTTCCTAGACTCCCGTGACGTCCGGTTTGACGAGTCTGCGTCCTACTACACCCGGTACCCCTGTCGAGGTCTCCCGGTACCCCCTCCCCCCCTTTTCCTAGCACCCTCTCCTCCTCCTGCTCCTACTCCTCCGGTACCCCCTCCCCCCCCTGGTCCTGCCCCGTCTTGTGTGTCCCACGCTACCCCTCTACCCTCGGTCGCGCGTCAGGTAGCGTCTCACTCCCCGCAGTCCTCCTCACAGTCCCCCCAGCAGCCTTCGGCACTTCCGCGACAGGTTCCTGTGGACTTGGCTGGTGTTGGAGCTGGAGGTGCAGCCGCTGGCGGTACGCGGTCTTGGGATGCTCGTTTGCGGGGTGCTGGAGCTGGAGGGGCTGGCGCAGGTGGCGCTAGCTCTGGGGGTGCTGGAGCTGGGGATGCTGGAGTTGGAGGTGCTAGCACTGGAGGTGCTAGTTCTGGGGGTGCTGGAGTTGGGGGTCCTGACACTGGAGGTGTTGGTTCTGGGGGTGCTGAGTTTGAGGAGACTGGAGCTGGAGACCCTGGTTCTGCGGAGTCCACTCCGCCTCCCCACCGCCACGACACGCGTCTCCAGGCTGCCCGTCGGCATCAGCGTGAGGAGCAGGAGCGGTTGGAGAGGGAGCGGCAGGAGTTGCGGGTGCTGGACCTTCTGGAGCAGCAGCGGCAGCAGCAGCAGCAGCAGCAGCCGCAGCAGCCGCTGCCGCAGCCGCAGCAGTCGCAGCCGCCTCCGCAGCTTCCTCTGGAGTGGTAGTTGTTCCCACCTGTGAGTGGCCTGCGGGCCCTTGGCCTTTTCTCCTCTCCTCCTGTCCGCTCCCAGTCTCCTCCTGTGTTTGTTCCTCCGTTGCCTCCTCCTGACGATCGTCCGGTGGTCTGGTCTTCTCCTCCTCCTCAATCTCCTCCCCCTTCTGTCCGTCGCGACTTGATCACCCGTTGTCCTCCGCGTGCTCGTCACTCGTCCCCTGTTACTGACCTCCACACTGCCCTCCTTTGTTCGTCTTGTCGTCGTTCTCCTTCTCCTATGTCCGTTCTCCCGTCTCCTCCTCCGTCCTCTCTACCTGCCCTCCCCACTCCTATCTCTGACTACTACCGCGCTGTTCATCCTGTTGCCGCACGTGTCCTCACCACTCTTGTCATCCACCCTCGTTTCCCTCCGTCGTCTGTCTCGGCTCTCACTGCCACTGTCGCTGAGTTTGCTGCCGCTAGCCGCCTTGACTACGCCACCCGTGTGGTGCCAGCTCCTCCCTACCGTCCTCTGTCCATCGGGGGTGGGTTTGCTCTTGGCTGTGACGTCCTAGAGGTCAGAGAGTCTGAGCTGGAGTACTGGGCAGCCGCTTCTCCCTCTGTGTGTGCCATGCTGCTCTCCCCTGAGGGAGACCCCGACGCCCTTGACATACCGACACCTTGCACTTACCGCGAGGCAGTGTCAGGGGCGTGGGCCTCTCAGTGGAAAGCAGCTATGGACTCAGAGTTGGCGTCTTGGAGATCCACAGGCACCTACATCGACGCAGTTCCCCCTCCCAGGGCGAACGTAGTCGATGGCATGTGGCTCTTCAAGGTGAAGCGGCCGCCTGGAGTACCGCCGGTGTTCAAGGCGCGCTACGTGGCTAGGGGTTTCAGTCAGCGTGAGGGAGTTGACTTCTTCCAGACCTTCGCCCCGACCCCGAAGATGACTACTCTTCGGGTGTTACTCCACATAGCAGCGCAGCGCGACTACGAGCTGCACTCCCTCGAATTCTCCACTGCGTTCCTCCAGGGCCGACTGCACGAGGAGATCTGGGTGCGCCGTCCTCCTCGCTTCACTGACACCTTCCCACCTGGGACCCAGTGGAGCCTGAGGCGACCAGTCTACGGTCTCCGCCAGTCGCCCCGTGAGTGGCACGACACTCTTCGCTCCACACTTCGTGACCTTGGGTTCAGCCCGTCCTCCGCCGACCCGTCGCTGTTTGTTCGAGCGGGTTCTACTCCATTCTTTATCCTTGTCTACGTCGACGACTTGGTGTTTGCTACCGCAGACAGGGCAGCACTGGCTCAGGTGAAGTCCGAACTGCAGAAGAGACACAAGTGCACTGACTTGGGTGAGCTGCAGCGCTACCTTGGCTTGCAGATCACCAGGGACAGAGCCGCTCGCACCATCACACTGACGCAGTCACACATGGTGCAGCAGGTCCTTCGGCGGTTCGACTTCCAGTTCTCCACCACACAGCCCACTCCTCTTGCTGTTGACCACCGACTCACTGGCCCCTTTCCTGACGAGCCCTTCGAGTCCCGTGGTCCCTACGCAGAGCTTGTGGGCTGCCTCATGTACCTGATGACTTGTACTCGGCCGGACCTCGCCTTTCCCCTCAGCATCCTCTCTCGCTTTGTTGCGACTGGGAGACACCGTCCTGTCCACTGGACAGCTGCTGTGAGGGTGGCGAAGTACCTGGCGACTACATCAGGCATGGGGCTTGTGCTTGGAGGGACCCAGCCTGTGGTGTTGACTGGTCACTGCGACTCTTCCTACGCTGACGACGTGGAGACTCAGCGCTCGACTCAGGGTTACTGCTTCAGTCTGGGAGATGGTGCTATGTCGTGGAGGTCTACACGGTCGTAATCTGTGGCTACTTCCAGTGCAGATGCAGAGATCTACGCTGGTGCCATGGCGGCACAGGAGCTTCGCTGGTTGACCTTCTTGCTCGCCGACCTTGGTGAGCGGCCTCGCTCTGCACCGACCTTGTACGCTGACAACAAGGTCATGATCCTCCTGTGTCGAGAGCCTCGACTGGAGAGCAGAGTGAAGCATATTGACGTGAGGTACTTCCTCCTGCGAGAGCTGCAGCGACGCGGCCAGGCACGCCTGGACTTTGTGGCCTTAGAGGCCAACACTGCAGACGTCTTCACCAAGGCCTTGGCGCTTGGTGATCACCACAGGTTCTGTGTGCAGTTGGGGCTTGTTGAGGTAGGCCCTCGGTTGCTGTAGTCTTGTTGTTTGCTCTGCTTGTTGTGCTTGCTATATATATCCTAGTGAACTCTTGAACTGGCCTTGTGGCCGCTTGCTTGCGCTCGGAATTTGTGTGGTGTCATTGAGATCCACCCTGAGCTTGCCTTGTTTCTTGCTTTGACTGGTCTTGTGACCGTTTGTTCACCTTGCTTGCTTTGATGCCCCTCACTTAGCCTATGGGGGTGTGTCAAATGTAATTCTATGCTTGTAGGCTACAGTGAGTAGCACAATAGGGAGTACAGTTGTTAGGGTTGCATATTTGTACTCTCACACTTTTTAGTTTCGGCCATTCCGTTGCATTCCTATTCTGAGAATAACTGCTTTACTGTTGCTGTAGCGGTTCGATACAGTGACGACTCGGGCAACTACTCTGTATCGAGTCAGTTGTTTGTCCTTGCTGTCGCGTTGTATTTGTCAAGTCAAAGGTCGCTGACCTTTGACCTTCCCGTAACCTCCTGCGGTTGCTTCAGTTGTCAACCTCCGATGGTTGACTCGCTGATGTTTCGTTTGTGCTTCGCTTCTTTTACGACTTGATGTTTCGACACAGCAGAAGCGCTTACCGTAAATCACTTGTTTCCAACAGTGAAAACATGAAAACCATTTAGAAGACCCGTCTCGTTTAGAAGAATACCCCTACACCCTGGACCATTTATAAGACATATATGTCTTAACATGTCCACACACATGGGTCTCTTATACCCAGAACATCATTCATAATAATCTACCCTAATTGAAGACACCCCTGTCTATCATTCGACACTATCTTATATCCGGGCTATGACGGTATAACAACACACATCCAATCTTAACTGCGCTTATAATTCAAATCAGGATATAGGGGCAGTTGTCAGTTGATAAGCGCATGCACCAATTAGAAGGGTGCGCCTCTATCCATGGGGACATGGTATGCTCCACCCCTACCGCAAGGTGGCCTTACTGCAGGCCCCCTAGTGCCTCTTCCAAGGCGTCAACCACCACCTTGTGACGCGTCTCCTCTGCCACACCGCCCCAGAGGTGCCGCACCATGGCACCGTGGGGCCCTGTGAGCTCCCGATACGGCACCACGATCACCCTCTCCCTCCACTGTGCCTGCCGTGCCACCTCGTTGAGGTTGGCCTGCTCCCACACGTGGTTGTGCACGTGGTAGTTGTCCCTCGTCACGTTGTACCACTCGCGGAAGAACTGTGCGCGCCCGTGGGGGCCAGGAGATACAGCAGTGGGGGGGGGGAGGGGACACCCAGCAGCAACATCATTATCTATGCGAGGGACATTGGGCAGGCAATGATTGATACGCCGGCATGTCTGGAATGAACGCTTCGGAGAACATGAGTACTTTTAAATACATGGTACTGACCTGAAGGTGAAGATGAGCTTGAAGCCGTCCAGAGCCAGCCACACAGCACTCCTCCCACAAGTGATCTAACCTCAAGTAATACCACAACCGCACACCACCACTCCTGCACTCATACAACCCCTCTCTTCCCCGCAGAGTATGTTGAAGCTCCTTGTATACCGCACACGTGTCAACCACTCACCTGTAGCCCACCAGATCCCAAGGCCACTCATTCCCTCACGTTCAACCTGTCTGTGCAACACACATCCTCCACAGCAGCTGTCATTGGTCGCTCACTACCCTTCGGCCAGGCAGCATCTTTCCCCCATCCTCCCACCCCATCGCTCCAAACTGCATTTGGGCTAATCCGCTCACCTGTACAACCCACCCCCCACCTTGAAGCTGTCGGGCGACCGCCGCCAGAGCATGACACCCGCATTGATGTAGCCTGTCTCCTCCCGGAACAGCGTCCCTGCATCTCCCTCAAACCCCCCTCTTGAGTCGCCGTTCCGTGGTATCAGAGCCACGGGCCCCTCCGGCTGTAGCGCGGTGGGTGGCTGTAGCAGCAGAGCAGGGTCCTGTGGGATCCACACCTGCCCCTTCAGTGTTTCGGTGAGATTGGCCATCAGCAACCAGCTGAAGTAGTTCTGAGGGGGGAAGGGGCACACACAGGGTTGGAAGAGGCACGAGAATGCCAACTTGATATCATGCTTTGAAACCCTCACAGGCCCTTCCAGTTGTAGCACAGTGGCTTGCTGTATCACAGCGGCCGGCTGGTGCCGCAGGGGCGGGGTCCTGAGGGGGAAGCAAGATCAAACTGGCGATCCTGGTTCACTGGTTCAGCGCATGAGACGAACCGTTTGGCCATGGTCCCACCGGTCCGCCCTGCAGACTGCAGTTCCCTGCGAAGCACGGCGTGACATGGCCCTCATGCTGCCATGCTGTGGATTGGCACCTTCAATGAGAAATCCAAGGTCTTATAAGCACCCTGGCAGGCCTGATGGGCACCCTGGCAGGCCTGATGGGCACACGAATGCGCAGAGTATTTTGGGATGGCATCTTTGAGAATATGGAAGTGGTGAGAAGGGGTGAGAAGGGGGTGAGGAGGGGTGAGGAAGCATGAACCACAGATCAGGTCTGGTGAGAGACCTAGTCCTAACGGTTCAACGACTCATGTGCACTTCTCACTGACACGGTGCCTGATGAATTTGATCCAAGCAGGGATGGAGAGGGAGTGGTGGTGCATGCGCATGTAGGCGTCTGAGTCGAGGAAGAAGGCCCACTCGCAGCAACACGCCAGCTGCTCCTGCAGGAACGGCACCTGCCAGCCATGAAGAGAGTGGCGGGGGGGGGCGGGTGGTGCAGTAAACAAAAAACAAACCCGTTGGTAAGACGTGGTTAGACGCCCATCCTTGGTTCGATGAGCGTGGAAAGCCTGTCACCTCGGGTGCGCAGACCTCACCTTGAACCACGATGGGTGTCTGTCGGGAGTGTACTTGGATCCGTTCTCCACCACCATTCGGTACCCGTGGCGCCGTGCGTACAACCTGACACAGACAGATGGATGGGATACAAGGGGGAACTTTGGTTTGACTAGTGTTGACCCGTCCCACACCACTGCCAGACCAGCCAGAACACGTGCCTTTTCTGCGCAGGCAGCATTCACAGAGATTGTCACGCCATGGCTGGATAAAGCAGAGCAGAGACGTGGGGACTTTCCAGGACTTGAACCATTCTGCGCACACAGCAGTGCCCCTTACCCATTCTGCGCACACAGCAGTGCCCCTTACCCATTCTGCGCACACAGCAGTGCCCCTTACCCATTCTGCGCACACAGCAGTGCCCCTTACCCATTCTGCGCACACAGCAGTGCCCCTTACCCATTCTGCGCACACAGCAGTGCCCCTTACCCATTCTGCGCACACAGCAGTGCCCCTTACCCATTCTGCGCACACAGCAGTGCCCCTTACCCATTCTGCGCACACAGCAGTGCCCCTTACCCATTCTGCGCACACAGCAGTGCCCCTTACCCATTCTGCGCACACAGCAGTGCCCCTTACCCATTCTGCGCACACAGCAGTGCCCCTTACCCATTCTGCGCACACAGCAGTGCCCCTTACCCATTCTGCGCACACAGCAGTGCCCCTTACCCATTCTGCGCACACAGCAGTGCCCCTTACCCATTCTGCGCACACAGCAGTGCCCCTTACCCATTCTGCGCACACAGCAGTGCCCCTTACCCATTCTGCGCACACAGCAGTGCCCCTTACCCATTCTGCGCACACAGCAGTGCCCCTTACCCATTCTGTGCACACAGCAGTGCCCCTTACCCATTCTGTGCACACAGCAGTGCCCCTTACCCATTCTGTGCACACAGCAGCGCCACTTACCCATTCTGCGCACACAGCAGTGCCCCTTACCCATTCTGTGCACACAGCAGCGCCACTTACCCATTCTGCGCACACAGCAGTGCCCCTTACCCATTCTGTGCACACAGCAGCGCCACTTACCCATTCTGCGCACACAGCAGTGCCCCTTACCCATTCTGTGCACACAGCAGCGCCACTTACCCATTCTGCGCACACAGCAGTGCCCCTTACCCATCCTGCGCACACAGCAGTGCCCCTTACGCAGGCCTACTGCAGCACGCACGCACATGCCTACTGCAGCACACACGCACATGTTGACGGCCAGGGAGACCCAGATGGGGAATTTCCACATGTTCTCATGCCCCTCCGCATCCACCACCTTGGGCAATCCCGAGTAGAGCCGCTGCCACACCTCCGGCATCGCCTCTCCGCCCCTCCCTCCCCCTTCTTCCTTCACCTTTGAGCCCTCACCCTCATCCGTCCCCTCCACCTTCCCCTCATCCGTCCCCTCCACCTTCCCCTCATCCGTCCCCTCCACCTTCCCCTCATCCGTCCCCTCCACCTTCCCCTCATCCGTCCCCTCCACCTTCCCCTCATCCGTCCCCTCCACTTTCCCCTCATCCGTCCCCTCCACCTTCATCTCACTCTCGCCCTCCCCCTTCCCCCCCTCCGCATTCTTAACCTCCACCTTCAGCCCCCCTCCCCCTCCCCTTCCCCCTTGCCCTCCTCTTCTCCTCCCTTCAGCCGCCTCCCCCTCCATCCTCCATGCCACCTTCCCTCCCACTCTCCCGCTCCTTCCTTCAGGTATCTACCCTTCCCATCCCTCGCCCTCCTCCCCCTCACCTCCCCCTCCTCCACCTCCCCCTCAACCCGTCCCCCCATCCCCCCTCGCCGCCCTTGTCCCCCATCGCCCAACCCAGCCGCTGCAACCTCTCGTTCTATCTCCTCTGCCCCCGTCCTTTCTCCGCCTAACCCCACTCCCCTTACCCCCTCTCCAACTAACCCTTCTCCCCACCACCCTTCTCTCCTGCCCCCTTCTCCACCTCTCCCCCCTCCCCCCACCTCCCTCCCCAGCTCCCTCAGCAGCCGCGCTACAGCCGCTTCCACGGCCGCCACGCCCTCAGGGCTGTAGCGCGAGTCGAGAGTCAGAATGCACCCCGGCCGTGGGGGCGCCTCCTCCCACTCCACTGCCGGCAGCCCCTCCAGCGGGGAGAACTTCTGAAGCTCGACGCCGTCCAGCCGAGCCTGAGGTTCGGGAACGGACCAAGGATGGCAGGAGAGGTGGGTGTGGGGAACATTTCAGGTAACAGGAGAGTTCAGCCGATTCCATCTCGGTGGCTACTTTATCAAGTAGCACAGGTGCGCTCACTTGGTTAGTACCGAGCAAGCACAGCACGACAACGAGAAGCACCAGAAGCCCTGCCACACATCCAACGATCCACGGCCGCGGTTGAGAATTCACAAAAGAGATCCACGGCCGCCATTCCGCCGCACTCGCCGCGACTTTCTCGCATTCAGGCGCCTCGAAACCCGCTTTCCCGCAGTGCAATCCGGAAGCGTACGCCCCGTGTATTGCGACTTTCGAGCCTGGCTTATCACGAGCGCCATGCACGGTCCCCAACCTCCTCCGCCAGCTCAGCAGAACTCGCAGAAATATCCCAATCATTCTATGCTGTGTGATCGCGATCCCCAGCGCGAGCCCGATCGCGTCGTCCGAGTGAAGCAGAGTCGTCTGAGGCTTCGAGGCTGATGACAGCCTGAGAACTCGGCAATCCCGATGCCAGCCCCTACAGCCGAGCCCCAGGAGGATTTGACTTGCAATGACGGGGGGTCCATTCACACTCATTATGGGCATCAGCCTACAGCTCCACAACTACATGTATAGAAAGGAAAATATGACAAGCAAGTACACTCTAAAGAGCAAACAGGATTGCACCAAATGGACAAATGATACAATGTGTAATGATATGAAATCGCTGAATAGCATTCCTGAAGTAACAATTCTGAAACGCGAAGATTGTCAAACTCATATGCTATAGTCTGTGTAGGCTGTAGTGGGGTAGACTGTCAGAACATTATAGCTTATGCTTTTGTGTAGGCTGTAATGGGGTAGCTTATATGGGGTACAACCCAATTAGGGTTAGTACTTGTACCCAACTCCTTCATAGTGCATTCATTCTCGTTCATTTTCACATGGTTTCAGAGCACATATGCTCCTGGCCTGTGGGCCCTACTACTGCTTCCGCTGCTACTCGATCTGTCGCACGCCCCGTCACGTGCGACCTATTTTTCATCTCGCCGCGCGCATTCTCTCTGGCGCGCGCCCTGAGGCGCGCGGCCCCATTCCTTCTAGGCGTGCGACCCCTCGCTGCCCCGTCGCGCCCCCATCTCGTCGCGTCGCCCTAGCGGCCGCGTCGCGCCGCCCTTCCCGACCCGGCCCCGCCTCTGCTAGCCCCGTCGCCTGCCCCTGCGGCCCCGGCTCTGCCCTTCCTGGCCCCGGCGCCACCTCGGCTGGCCCCGTCGCCTACCCCGGCGACCCCGACGCCGCCCTTCCCGACCCAGCCCCGCCTCTGCTGGCCCCGTCGTCTGCCCCTGCGGCCCCGGCTCTGCCCTTCCTGGCCCCGGCGCCACCTCGACTGGCCCCGTCGCCTACCCCGGCGGACCCGACGCCGCCCTTCCCGACCCGGCCCCGCCTCTGCTGGCCCCGTCGCCTGCCCCTGCGGCCCCGGCTCTGCCCTTCCTGGCCCCGGCGCCACCTCGGCTGGCCCCGTCGCCTACCCCGGCGACCCCAACGACGCCCTTCCCGACCCGGCCCCGCCTCTGCTGGCCCCGTCGCCTGCCCCTACGGCCCCGGCTCTGCCCTTCCTGGCCCCGGCGCCACCTCGGCTGGCCCCGTCGCCTACCCCGGCGACCCCGACGCCGCCCTTCCCGACCCGGCCCCGCCTCTGCTGGCCCCGTCGCCTACCTCTGCGGCCCCGGCGCCGCCCTTCCCGGCCCCGGCGCCGCCTCTGCTGGCCCCTTCACCTACCCTGCGGCCCCGGCGCCACCTCTGCTGGCCCCGTCGCCGCTCCACCCGGCCCCGCCGCCGTCCCCAAGCGGCCCCGCCGTCACCACCGAGCCGCCGGCGCCGCCAACCTGCTACCAAGCCGCCCGAGCCACCCGAGCCGCCCGAGCCGCAGCGCCACCTGAGCCGCCCGAGCCGCCGGGTCGCCGAGCCGCCGAGCTGCAGTTGCTGACGAGCTGCCGTACCGCCGAGCTGCCCGAGCCGCCGAGTCGCCGAGCCGCAGTTGCCGCCGAGCCGCCCGAGTCGCCCGAGCCGCAGTTGCTGCCGTGCCGCCGAGCCGCCCGAGCCGCCCGCACCGCCGAGTTGCCGAGTCGCCGAGTCGCCAAGTCACCGAGCCTGCTCTTCCCACCATTGGTGAGCCCCTGCCCTGCTAGCGCGCTGCCCGTCGCCTGCTTGCCTGCCTGCCTGCCTTTCGGCCTGCCTGGCTCCCTGCCTTACTGCTGCTACTCCTGCTCCTTCTTCTACTGGCGGAGCCAGATGCAGCCCCAGCGACGTCCGCGTGAGTCCCTCACGCCCCAGCAGCTGCGTGAGTGGTACGCTGGTTGGGGTTGTAGGGGTGGCCGCGCTGCTACTGCTACCACTACTGCTGCTACTACTACTGGCGGCGGCCAGATGCAGCTCCAGCGACGCCCACGCGCGTCTCCCACGCCCCAGCAGCTTCGTGAGTGGTACGCTCAGAGTAGAGGGTCTCTCAGTTCTGTTCGCTGCTCTTACGTGATTCGCACTGGTGCTCGGACTGGTCAGCCTTGTGGGACACCTAGTCACACACAGTCCCGCTGCTTCGCCCGTCTGAGCGATGCCTGGCGTACCGAGTTTGGCGACGAGGCTGAGCTCCCCGACTGGGTGGAGTTGCTTAGGCAGAGGGTAGATATATTTGCTCTTGACTATGATGCTATTCTCACTGCCATGTATGCATTGCCTACTAGTGCTGACCGTGCCGGTCACCTATGCGTACCGCCTGACCCGGGTATAGAGCCTGCTACTCTAGTTGCTGGTGAGGCTGCTGCTCTAGGTGCTAGTGAGTCTCCTGCTCCAGGTACAGGTGCGGCTGCTGCTCTAGGTGCTAGTGAGTCTGCTTCCTCAGGTGCGGGTGAGTCTGCTCTCTCAGGTACCGCGTCGGCTCCGGCCTCTCACACCTTCACTCTTGACTCGGGGGCTTCCCGCACCTCCTTTCGAGACCGCACCACAATCACGCCGCTTGGTCGGCCAGTTGCAGTCTCTCTGGCAGACCCCTCTGGGGGTCCTGTCCTTGCTCACTTCTCCACTATCCTCCCGTGTCCGGCAGCCCCCTCTGGCACCCTGTCTGGTCTTTACCTCCCCTCGTTCTCTACAAACTTGGTGAGTGGTGCTGACCTACACGATGCGGGGGTTCACCAGTTCACTCCTGTGCGTAAGCGGGTGACCCACTGCACGGACGCTCGGACAGGCCGACACTTGGCCACGTTTACACGTCCGCCGGGGTCGAGCCTGTACACGCTGACCACTGCGTCTCCTCCAGTCACAGCGTCTCGTCAGGTAGCTGTGTCGGGTCAGGTGTTTGCTGCAGCGTCCAGGTCTAAACACTGAGTCTGCCCCCTGCTCGTGTCGTCTCCTGTCTCACGAGACTCTCCTCTGGCACCACCGCCTTGGTCACCCCTCCCTGCTTCGTCTCCGAAGCATGGCCTCCCGTGTCCTTGTCTCTGGTCTTCCCCGGTCCCTCCCTCCCCTTCCTCCGGGGCCTGGCCCTACCTGCGTTCCCTATGTCGAGGGGCGGCAGCGGGCTGCCCCTCACTCCTCTCAGTTTCCTCCGACAGAGGTCCCGCTGCAGACGCTTCACATGGACGTGTGGGGCCCGGCCCGCGTTCGTGGACAGGGTCACGAGCGCTACTTCATGCTGGTGGTTGACGACTACTCGCGTTACACCACAGTCTTCCCCTTGCGCGGCAAAGGTGATGTCACTGAGGTGTTGATCGACTGGATCCGCGAAGCTCGTCTCCAGCTCAGGCAGAGCTTCGGCTCGGACTTTCCTGTTCTGCGCCTGCACTCTGACAGAGGAGGAGAGTTATCATCTGGCCTTCTGCGAGCCTACTGTCGTGCACGAGGCATCCGCTAGACCTTCACGCTTCCGGACTCTCCACAGCAAAATGGGATTGCTGAGCGCCGCATTGGCATGGTCATGGACGTCACCCGTACGTCCATGATGCATGCGGCTGCCCCCCATTTTCTGTGGCCGTTTGCGGTCCGGTACGCGGCGCATCAGATCAACCTTCAGCCCAGGGTCTCCATGCCGGAGACCTCCCCAGCTTTGCTGTGGACGGGGAAGGTTGGCGATGCGTCTGCGTTCTGTCTCCGGGGATCTCGGGCGTTTGTCTGCGACTTGTCTGCGGACAAGTTGTCCCCTCGTGCTGCTCCCTGCGTCTTCCTGGGGTTCCCCCCTGACGCGCCAGGGTGGCAGTTCTACCACCCCACCTCTCGCCGTGTTCTGTCCTCCCAGGACGTCACGTTCGACGAGTCGGTCCCCTACTACCGTCTCTTCCCCTACCGCACTCAGTCCCTCCCCCCGCCACCGCTCTTCCTTGTGCCAGGTCCCCCTCCGGTAGACCCCCTCCCCCCTCAGGGTCCTGCCCCTTAGGTGTGTCCCAGGTAGACGCTGTTGAGCCTGTCGAGGTCGCTGGTGACTCTGGTGCTGCTGAGGGTGTTGAGCCTGGGGGTGCTACGCCTGGAGGTGCTGAGCCTGGAGGTGCTTGAGAAAGTGAGAACGAGAATGAATCAACTATGAATGAACTGAGTACAAGTACTAACCCTAATTGGGTTGTACCCCTTATGGGCTACCCCACTATATCCTACACAATAAGCACAAGCTATATGTTCTGACACACCCCCATAGGCAAAGTGGGGGAGAACAAGGGGTCACAAGACCAGTCAAGCAAAGCAAGCTCAGGGTGGATCACAAAATCACCACACATTCTGAGCACAAGTTCAAGGCCACAAGGCCAGTTCACATGCAGGAGTACATATATATAAAGGACTAGACAAGCAAGAGCAGGTGTATATATATGCAACAGTACAAGCAAGGTCAAGAGGTGAGCAAGTGAGGCAAGACAGGCACAAGACCCAGCTGCGTGCAGAAGCGCTCATGATCACAAGGCGCAAGTGCCTTGGTGAAGACATCAGCAGTGTTGGCCTCAGAGGCCACGTACGCAAGCCGCAACTGACCACGCTGCTGTAGCTCACGAGCAAGGAAGTAGCGAAGAGCAATGTGCTTTGTTCTGTGCTCCAGTCTCTGCTCTCGACACAAGGCCAGAATGGCCTTGTTGTCTACGTACAGGACTGGAGGAGAACGAGGCGACTCTCCAAGGTCTGTCAGCAGGTAGGTGAGCCAGCGAAGCTCCTGTGCAGCCATGGCCCCGGCGTAGATCTCAGCCTCACAACTGGAGCCGAGAACAGAAGACGAGCGAGTAGCCCGCCACGAAACAGAGCCGGAACCAAGGCTGAAGGTGTAACCCTGTGACGACCGCTGCGTAGCCTGGTCGTCAGCCCAAGAAGCGTCTGCGTGCCCAGTGAG